TCTTGCATCGCTATTCTATCCTAACTTTCTGGCGTGATATCCTAGACAAAACGATCTTATTGAGAAAGTCGAGTCTTTGCACCAACATGGCGTCTCAATGCCTATCAACGCTCATAACGTCTTAGTCGATAAACGGGGGAACATTCGTTTTACGGACTTGGATCAAGCGTCCTCGACCATAGATGTGGTAGACTCTGTTTCGACTTGGGGGTGGATCTGGACTACCTTTAGTCGTCATTTGATAAGTAAATCTATACTCTCCTCAAAGTGCAGCATTTGAGGCACAAGTGCATACGCGCAGTCCAGTCATGTATTTGAGAGAAGGTGCGGGAAAAGGTATATGAATGTCCAGGTATGTATAGGTACTTTGCGTGATGGGTGGGTATGACTACGAAAGTAAGTGAAAATGCAAGTATGTATATTGAAAAAATACAAGATGTATGTGGGGGAAAACAAATTGCAAGCAAGCTAAATATGTATACACTGAGTAACCATGAAGATGAATTTGGAAAGCAAAAAACAAAAATTTAAAGATAAGATTAAAAGAAACAAAACGCAGGATCAACGCGTCGACTTTCCTTTCGCAAACGCACCTCCACCACCCTTCCCTTGATGCTGCATCATCCTCTCCGCCATCCTCTTGATCCGATCCTTTTCCGCCTCCAGATGCAGCTTCACCATCCCGTCCAGCTTCTCTGACTCCTGCTGCCGCTTGCTCAATTTCCCCAGGCCGCTGCTGTGTTTCTTGTGGTGCCCACTTCGAACAGTAGCGGTACTTGTACTGGGCCGCTTGTCATGCGCATGATCGTGCTCATATTCGTAACGGCCTCCGAGATTCCGACCCGGACTTGTCGCAGAAGAAGTAGTCCTTGGGCGAGCGGTAATGGTACTCAATGCTTCAGTCGAATGCCTATCATGTAGTGACTGAGCAGCTCCAGATCCATTACCCGCATCCGCACTTAACCTCCCGTCAGACCTATACTGATATAGCTCGAGCGGCAACTGCTGGGCCCGTATTTTCTTGTTGAAAAACTTGCTTTTGGACGGACTCGGAGGGATATGTCCTATGGGCCGTTTGGGATCTGTAACGCCAAATGGGAGGAGCTTGACTTTGGATGAGGATTGAAACGATTGAGTGGGACGAGTTGGAAGAGGTGGTAAAACCTGTAACTGGTCACCCGAACGACGGAAGAAGATATTATGATCAAGGTCACCCAGATCGTCACCCAACGCATTCCTCGATCCCGAAGAAACATGCGGCGTCGAGTGATTTCCTAGCCTCATCAAGGAAGACACAGGAGTATGACCACGCGAGGGAGAACGTGTCGAGTAAAACGCAGTGGAAGACGGAGCAGAAGGCGTAGAGAGGATTGAAACAGCCGAATGTGTAGAATGAGCGACAGATAAAGTTTTTCTTCCTGCGGTTTCACCACCGTCGTCTCCACTTTTACTTCCACCCTCACTTCCACTCCCGCTTCCATTTACTTCGCCGTCATCTTTCACATCCCCATAATCCTCCTCCTCCGAAGACTCCTCCGAATTATCCAAGTAGTCCAACGCATTCGGTTGACTCTGCAACTTGTCGAAAAAGTTGTACGTTTCACGTTTTCGATTCGAATTCGAGTTTGACGCGGATGCAGATGCGTGGGCTGTCTCCACATCGACGAACGATCGAGACGTAGGCGACGCTGGACGAATATTCCTCCTGCCTACTCGCAAGGCGTCGAACGAGGAAGCAAGGGATGGAGGCGACTGCGGTGCCGGTGCTGAACGGATCGAAGGGACGAACATGGTGGTGGGGATGTGTAGACTCAGGGGATCCCTTCCACTGTTCGCGTTTGTAGAACTGAACCGACTCCGACGCTCGAGTAAAGACGCGAGTGGATCGGGAGAAGGACGAGGTAAACTCTCCAAGAACGGTGGTGTCACCGGTCCTGGGGCAGCGATTTCGATAATTTCGACTCTTCCGTATCCGACGTTGGGAATAACATCTGGAACGAGAGTGATAAGCGAAATTGGAATATCAATAGATCTATAGGCATACGTACCAGTGTTAGGCGCAGCAGGTGCAGTCGGTGGTCTCCGCTTTGACACAGGCGGAGGAAGCGTAAGTTTGGTGGGCGTCCCATGCCCTTGGTCTGACGTCGAACGGGTTATCGACGACGGTGAGGGCGGAGCAGGTCCGGACACCGATGTGGGGGTCGTACTTCTTAAACTGTACACAGACGGAACCTTCTCGAACTGCCTATTCCTCATATCCCTATAATGCAAACTTGTCGTCGTTCGTGGCGTCCGTGGCGGCCTCGGGGCAGGAGATAGAGGCTGTAGAACTGGATCTGAGGAAATTCGAGGTGGTGGAGTGGGCGAGGTTAAGAGGTTCCGGTCTTGTTCGTGGTGTACATGTATTCGTCTCAGGTTACTCTGAGTTTGAGAATCCAGATTCGAATCGGTATCATTGACATTAACATGCAACTCGGACGGATTCCGACTCAGAGCGTCTTGGAACGCTGACGTTGTTGGTGATAATGCCGCCGTATAAGTAGACGTTACAGACGCTCGTGAGCGCGACCTTGATCTCCCTCTGTCATCTTGTCCCTCCCCGAAATCTTGACTCCCCTCGCTCTCACTCCCCATCTCAGCAGTCATAATCGAGTATATCGATCTCGCATCCCCGTCCTCGTCTTCCGTATTAGGAAGACCCGTTTCCACTCCACTCATATTAGACTCTGACGACTCTCGGGGAAATGGCGGTGGTGTCAGCGAAGGGACCGTTACCCTGGGTTCCGATGATAAGGAACTTGCCTTCTTACTAGTACTACTGCCAGAACGTCCATTTCGATTAGACGAAGTGGATTTCCTCGACGGAGAAGAGGAACCAGCAGGCTTATTCGCTGTCTTCATGGATCTGGATCCGGATCCAGGATTCACCTTCTCCGCGATAGCAGGTACAACGAAATTTGTCTCCGCCTCAGCCACAGGTTCAGCAGGCTCTGTTAAATCAGTCTGCGATAACGAATACAGCGGATTAATCAGCTGTCTCTTCAATGGACTCTTCGGTGGAGGCATAAGCGGTTTTAATGGTTCCGAAGGAGTTTCGGTGCGGAATGGGATCGGCGAAGGTGATGTGGGTGGATGGGGATTAGCTGAATATAAATGGCTAGTTGAAGAGGCTGAAGCTGATGAAAAGCCCCGGGGGCGAGAAGGCGGTTGAGATTTGGATCGTGAACGAGGGGAAGAATTCAACGAAATAGGACCACTGATGATCTTTCTATTGATTTTCGCTGTAGAAACGGCTGGCGAAGGTGGTATAGAACCGGACCCAGATGCAATAGGCGCAGACAACATCGAAGAGGCACCTGACGTCAAAGACGCGACATGCCTTGATAATGACGCATCTGCTAGGTTATCAAAGGAATGCCCTACAGCAGCGTGCAACAGTGCTTTCCTCCAAGCCGCGTCTTCATCTAAAACAAGTTGACTTGAGGAAGACTTTGGAGGAGGCAGATGGTCGGCCAAGATGGCGGCACCTACACTGTCATTGACACCCAACCCGTGCAATGCAGATGCTTGGACGGTAAAAGGATATGCTGTAGATGGCGGAGGAAGGTCTACTGCATCGGTTGGATCTATCACATCGTCGACAAATATTGCCGGCTCACGACCACGTCGAGACTTCATCTCCAGCTCAGCTTGCTTGGCTGCACTTTCCAAATCCAACATTTTCTCTCTTACTACCACAACACGACTAGCCGCAGGTCTTCCTCCTGAGGAAGTCGAGACTTGCGGAGTGGACTGAGGGCCCGTAGGCGGGAGAGGAAATCCCGATACGGCCGTAGCATCTGACGTTGTACGCAACGCAGGAACAAGCGGAGTTCCAGGTTCGGATGTCGGAGTTGACGGTTTAGACTTGTTCTTTCCCAGACGAAAGAGGTCTAGAAAAGTCGGAGTGGGAGGTTTTTTCGGCAAAGTAGAATTTCCATTTACAGGGACAGGAGAAGCGTGAAATTGGTCCGGATGAGGTTTGGAATGAGCTGGGGGGAGGAAATAGTTGTTGTTTACCAATAGACGAAGACGATAGGAAACATCGTCTTCGTCGAATGATTTGACCATGGGAGGTTGCTGCATCTCGAATACGGATTCTGCAGGAGAATGAGGAACAGGAGTGGAGGATGCGACTGTAGAGAACGGATAGATAGAGGAAGAGTTGTTTGTCTCCTGTGTAATGACCGAGTCCCGAATATTGACCTTGATCCCACTGTCTGCGTCAATTTGTGATAGAGGAACTCGAGAAAAGGCAGATGGAGCTGTACTAATGGAGGGTAAATTTGAGGCTTGTTTAGCAGCTCTGGACTGGAGGAAAGATTACAGTGTGTTTATAGTTAAACTAGCAGAAAGCTTGAGTTAACGTACCATTCTTATCAGGTCCGCTTCTGATCCTTTCGCTGCGCCCGTATTAGCCATATTAGCCTCTTCCGTTGTCATAGACACTGGTTCTTGAACAAATTTGACGTCTGAAATGAAATCAGCAGGCTGAGGCGTTGAGCTACTGGTCAAAGTTTTTGAACGTGCTCTTGCTCGTGGACGGCGACTTAGGCTGGCTCTGCTGGCTGAACTGCCAATACTAGAGTTGCTCGAAGCGCTTCGTAGAACATGGGGCTCCTCCACGGGAGACGTTTGCGGGTCGAGGACGTTCATCGCAACATGCGAGTCCAGACCTAAAGCGCCCTTGTTAGCGCTCAAAAGTTAAATGTTGATTACGTGATGGGTGGTCAATGTGATCTCCGGCGTCCGCTGTACGGGTGCTCTCACTGTGGCCGACGAGTACAGATAACGATTCTTATGTGGCAGCTCGAATGACAGCTCGAATGCTCCAACGGCATTGCCACCTGGGGATTTAGTAAAGTATTGAACACTGCTAGAGTTATGTAGTGGCATGCAAGAGATCTCTCGAATGAGGGAATCATCAAAAGGTACTTCAACTTATGCAAAAATAGGCTCATTGCATTAAGAGGGAATCGAACCCCCGGCGGGTCGAAGGACACGCAATATTACACCTATGGCAACGACCCAGGTTACCACTACCCCATTAATGCGTTACTAAAAAGAGTTGTGTGACATTGGAGATAGTGGAGCAACCAGGTTGAAGTAACGTTGTGTATCTATCCTCCAGAAACCGGGCAAATCACCGCAATTTCCATCCCATCTCTCAATTCCACTTTCCCCACATCTTCATTCTCTACCATTTCAGCATCCACGCTCCACTGACTCGAAGAGAGTATCTCTCTTAGCGCTGATTCCTTTCTATTTCCTGCGCCTTTAGATTCCGAATGGCGACTAACTAGTAAATCCGTGAGCTGGGATAGGAAGAATCCTTGAGAGGGGATAGAAATGAGTTCTTCTGTGAGCCCGATGGCGGTGGATGCAGCAGCAAAGTAAAGCACTGTTATGCAGGCTAAGGAGTTGCTCGAAGTCATTGACAAGTGATAAGTCGCGACTTGGGCGCTTATTGATGGCGTGAGAGAGAGATCACGATAGACTCTCGATCAAGACCATGATGAATATTATAAATTCTATAGAAACCGTACGACAAGTACTTTACTTGGTGGGCTTTATATATGCTCTATGTGGCAAATGTGCAGGTTTTCACTTCTCAGCGGGTATATTCTGCTTGAATCTCTGCCAAATTTAATGCTAGAAAACTAGTAAACATCCGAATATTCCCCCAAATCTGAAGACGTACTCATCAAAGGATTGCCTTCTGCTAAACGGGTCATGATTGCAATCAGTCTGTTCAGATGTTCGACATTTCTCTGGACTGCGCTGGGATTATAACTCTGACCGGAGCGAAACGACCGGATCGCAGTGAGAAACACTTCAGCTGGGCCCCTGAACATGACCTGGTACATTCAATACGAAGAGTAAGTGAGAGTGATTGTGGCTTGAAAAAAAAATCAAAGGGCACTCACAGCCATGACAGGGTCCAGGAATGTGGTCGAGTCCAAGTTGATAGCTGCCAAACATCTCATGGTATCATCAGCGGTATCTAGAAACAACTGAAGAAAAGATGGATCGTGGCGTCCGAACGAGCAATGCAGTCGAATCATAGTCGCTCTGGCCAAAATATGAATAACTAGCAGCCGTTTGTTCATCTCATCCGAAAACCTCGGTCCGATGGCTGGAACATCGGATATAAGTCGAGTTATAAGAGTAAATAGGTTCTGGTAAGTCGAAGAAAACTCTTGTCGGTAAGAGTTCTGAGATTGCGCTGAATAGTGACTGATTAAGAGAATAGTCAAATCTGTCAAGTTGAGAAAACCCACAGGTAGAGTAACGATTCCAAAATACCGTGGTCTGTTCGAACAGTACGGTCGCCTTGACATATAAAGCCAGAATGGAACTGCCTTCGTTCAAGTTTGGTATATCAGAGAGAAATTTCTGGAGCGTATGGCTGTTTCTGAAACCCGGAGGGAACGTAGTCTAAGCCAATATCAGTGGCTCACTCTCTACGCATCGGTTTTTCCCAACATCACCTCTGAATAAGTTCCGGCGTCTAACGGCCAGGGCGTATCAATCCTTCCGTGCTCTGTAGTAGCAGAAAGCAAGGTTGGAGCGCCTTCAACAGCCGACCAAAGACAATTTAGCCCGAAAACGGTCCACATAGCATTGATTCGTTGCCCCTCCTCCACAACGTTCTGTGCGGAAGGCAGTAACATACTCGCTTGTAGGGTGATGGCCAGACCTTGAGCATCGGAGTCCTGAAAGCTTCGAATCCGGTGCATCCGGGCACTTAGAATTAGAGACGTTGCGTTGTTCAAATGCCACTTCCCTTCTAATGCTCGCGCATGTAGGAAAAAATAGTGTGCAACGAGAACATTTGCTTGGAGGGTATGTAGAATCTTCTGGGGGTGGTTTTCGGAAAGGCCGAGAGCGACTGCTTGAACAGCCTTGGGAAGATATACTTCTTTGAGGGGAGGAACCTGGGGGTCCCGTTGGAATACGGATCCAAGTAGTATCATGGCAGCTGAGAGAGCAGTGGTGGGTTTTTCGTTGGGGTCGGAGTCATGGTTTGAAAACGCCTGTATGAGTTTTGGGCCGTCCAAGAAAAAGCCTAGCTGAAGCGCATGTGGGAGAAAGGCTTCCATGCTATGCCGCAAAATCGGTGGTCAGCCTATACCTATAAGGATTGTACATCAGACTCACAGATGTGTTTCCTACCAAACTCAGGGTAAGCTTCGTCTGTGATCTTATCGGGAAAATAATCTCTTACTTGTGCTCTTGGTGACCTGCTTCCTCGATTCGTCTCCGTTCTGCTACTCATAGCAGCAGAACCGCTTGCTGGGTAAGGATTTTGGAGAGTTAGAGAGTCCCTTCTACCGGGATTTTGAAGCTCCTCGATGCGGATTTCAAGCAGGGCGATTTGCTCCTGCAATCTGTCCGCGGATGTATGCCCAACTTCGGCGTACTCGCAGTCCTGGAGAGACTCCAGCCTGCCTGCAAGGACCGCAAATGGGTTTTATTCCATCACACCTCTGGCAAAGGGAATCAGTTTCCCTACGCAGCGGTAGAAAAATCAGTACGGTACCATCTTGCGCCGCCTGAAAGATACATTAGAATACTGAGATATTAAACGAGGAAAACAGGATGGCGTACTTGCAGTTGTTGCACGCTCTTCCACGCGAAATAGGTGGGGCTTGAGGAGCTCGCTTTGAGTACATCCTTGGAAGAAGGGAAATTTTCTGGTTTGAGGAGCGGGTCTGAGACAACCTTGACGAAGAAAACAGGAGGGTTATATACTGAAATGACCATCGTCACCTCCAAGTCCTGAGTCGGCTAGAGTTCGCAGAGAAGTCACCGGTGTGGAAATCATACTTTTAGGCGTTCGTAGTCCTTACACAGGACAAAAGTGGGAGAGATCATGATAACGATTCGTTGCGATAATAGTGGAACAAGTGTTGGACGATGGGATTGATCAAATTCCCGATCCTGGAACGCGTCGGCCTTAATTTGTAAGCATAGACAGCGATATCTTACGGCTAAGTCTCGCCTGTGCCTTATGGCGTTGATAAACTTTGAGAGGTTAGTCCTGGTTAGTCTATAGTGCCAGTCTGCGCTGTCTATCTAAACTAGGACTCATACCGTAAAGATTGACATCTGAGTCTACGGCCAGTTGTTCAACTTCGCTTGATATCGAAATCATTGTTTTTGTTGTATTGATAAGGATTCCCATTGAGAGAAGGGATTTCCAGTGTCTGGTAAACGTTAATCTGCAGTGAGGCTAATGGGTCCAACTCTCCTGAACCCCGCCAGGGGACGGACTCTACCTCCAGTGATTTGTTACGGATGTTGACCCAGCACTCGGAGAGCATCGGAGGTTATACAGAAATGTACCAGGTTAAGTTATTCAACTGGTGTCATTGTTAATACATTTATTGTGCACGCGAACTTACCAGGATCCATCGTTGAATGTTGATCGCTGATAGGATAAGGAACCTCCAGGCAGGTGATTTCTACAATGCTTAGCAATCGGTAGAGAAAATTTACCGCAAGCACAAGTACAAAGGCCAAATATCGCCTCGATACTTCGTCGAAATATGACCGTACGGTGGAGTGGGCGTGAAAATTATCGGTCTTACTTTTTTGCTCACGCGTTGTCCGACTTGTAAAGGTATATTGGTGTAAAATATGACGAGCAGGCTTGTGGATATGATAATAGGACGTGCTGAATGAGGGAGCTGTTGATAGCTGCTTTTGTTCGGGAACTATTAAAGTGGCCGGAGAATTGATGTAGAAGTGTAGATTACTAATCATCAATTGTTATCTTGAACTTCAACTATGGACTCTGATTCTGACATTTCGATTTCCGACGGTGATTATGAAGGCGAAGTAGACTTGACGTCGCGAAGTAAAGCAAAAGGAAAAGGAAAAGCTATTGACAAGGACAAACGCAAAAAGGACAAGCCAAAACGCAAGCCCAAGGACGTGGTGAATTCGACCTTTCCAAGCGTTCCAGGTTCAATTTCTGAAATCTGTATAGCAAGCTTACACCTGGGAGGCAAATTTTACACGTTCATGGGAGACTGTGCAAGAAGATGAAGGCGGAAGTCTCCAGGGTGCTGTGAATGATTGGATGGCCAGAGGAAGGCGGAAACGGTGAGCATTGAGCAAGTTTTCAAATGTATCATTTTGTTGAATGTGCATAGTCTTCTCGCCCCACAGACTGCAATACGAAGGACAATTATCAGACATATGGTTCTCTTGATTGACCTTTCTTCTTCCATGATGGACCGCGACATGCGTCCGACGCGTTTCGCCGTCACTTTACAATATGCACGCGAATTCATCATCGAATGGTTTGACCAGAACCCCTTGGGTCAGATGGCTGTGGTTGGAATGAGAGCTGGTGTTGGGGAGCGAATAAGCGACATGTCTGGTTAGCACTGTGCTGTCAACCCATAACCTTTTGTTCAACTCGGACGCAGGAAACCCTCAAGATGTGCTCAAATCTATATCAGACAGACATAAACTTGAACCGACTGGTGAGCCCAGTCTTCAGAATTCCATTGAAATGGCTAGAAATAGCATGAAGTATGTATGTTTTCTTCTCCGTGATCTTACAACTAATCCCCTCCAGCCACCTCCCAACCCACTCCTCGCGCGAAATCCTTATTATTTTTGGCTCGTTGACGACCTGTGACCCGGGAAACATACACGACACCCTAAACGAATGTGTAAAAAACAAAGTTCGAATATCCGTCGTTGCTCTTGCGGCTGAAATGAAAATTTGTCGGGATCTTTGTGATAAGACTGGAGGTAGGCTCCTTTCCTTCCCATTAAGCATGTTTCCTCAACCATCACCTTGTAGGCCAATTCGGGGTCGCCATGAACGAGGGTCATTTCAAAGACCTTCTCTTCGAACTTGTCCCGCCGCCTGCACAACGAGCCATCTCCCGTTCTACTACCGGAGCCACAGCAGCAACAAACCCTGCTGCCGATCTCATGATGATGGGCTTCCCAACTCGCCTCCCCGACACCTCACCCCCAAGTCTCTGCGTCTGCCACTCTGAACTAAAATCCAAAGGCTTCCTTTGTCCCCGCTGCCTAGCTAAAATTTGTGACGTCCCTACAGATTGTGATATCTGTGGGCTGATGATTGTCAGCTCACCGCATTTGGCGAGGAGTTATCATCATCTTTTTCCAGTAAAGCCTTACGTTGCTGTGTACGTCGTCGCGAATACTTATGTTTCTTGCTAATTTCTCTTATTTTGCGTACAGACCATCATTCGCGGATGTCCCAGATCCTGTATCTACCACTTCTTGTCATGCGTGTGCGAGAGTATTCCCGAAAACGGTATCGCAAAATGTAGCGGATGGTATGAGTGCCATAGGTAGATATCGATGTCCGGATTGTAACACGGATTTTTGTTCGGATTGCGATGTGTTTGTGCATGATGTGATACATTGTTGTCCGGGTTGTGGCAAATAAAGCTTTCTGTCTTTGACCTCTTCGCACATTTATCTTCCAGCCAAAACATATCTCTCTTTCGCTTCCAAGCGCTGTGTCTGGCTCTGGCGTTGTCGTTCTGCCAATTAGCAACAGAAATCATCAGGCAATACGCATTTTAACTCAAAATATAGCAACTGTCATGTATTAAAGCGAACATTGTAACGAGCAACTGGTTCGATGGTGTAGGGGTTATCGTACTTGTTCACGAGGCATTACAGATTTGGTCAATTTTCGGTTATGGACTCTTGTGCCTACGCTTCAATGGAGACGATATTAGATATGGTTACGCGGCCCAATCGGTATAACTAACTGAAAGGCCCCGTAAAGGAAACAGCCGGTCCCTACGGCAGCGCAAGTAGCGAGCTCGACTCCCGAAGAGAAGATAGACCGCAGGGCGGAGGAATGGTAGCAAGGTGTCATCGAAAGATGAGGCTAGCTTCCTACATTCTTATATAATCTCGAGGTTCCACATTAAGCTCCAAGAAAGAGAGGAGGTGCCGGGGTAAAATCAAGTCCCCTTACAGGTGTAACGGCGCTGTGACCACTCGGGCTCTTGCTGGGCTTGGACAGTTCCCAGCGTGCTTCTCGTAAACGCTTGCCAAATCCCACGCGACCAGCAGCGAAACCGGCGCACCAATACCTAAGAGCATCATATGAGAGCAACAGAGGTCATGCCAGGAGCCATCTGGAGAAAGGGGGAAGAAAGAGTTCGCTGATTAGTTGAATGGAACCCAAAGAAACGAGAGAAGAGAAAGAATAGGATTCAGTATGAGCGCATGCATACCTCATGGTCGTGTGTATTGAGAAAATTTGCAACTGGTTCGATGGTGTAGGGGTTATCACACTTGTCTTACATGCGCAGAAATATCGATGTTTCACAAGAGGTCCCCGGCTCGAAACCGCCAGGTCGAACCACTGTTCTCGAGCCGATTTGGCATTTTTGTTTTCGTTATATTCGAAAGTGTAATTTTTAATGCGACAGGTGTAGGAGGATGTAGGAGGGGGAGGATGGGGAGGGGTATAAATTTGAAATACTATCTGTATCATCCACTGTACTATGTACTTTACATATACTTATATAAGTAGAGAAGAGAACTTAAGAAGAAGAAGAAGAAATAGGACCTTCAGTATGAGTACTCTGCGTGCATGCCTTCCTCTTGTGTCGTGTGTATTCGGGCAAACAGAAGGCTTGAGAACTGGTTCGATGGTGTAGGGGTTATCACACTTTGTCTTACATCTACAATGTGGAGAAGAGCTATGTATCACAAGAGGTCCCCGGTTCGAAACCGGGTCGAACCAATGTGCAGTGTTGTGTGTATTTTCATTTTTCGTCCTCCAATGTATTCGAAGATGTAATTTTTTAATACTACAAGCGTATGAGAGATATATAACAGGCGGGTATAAACACTATTTGTATCATTCACTGTACGAGCCCGTACTTTACACACATACTTTTATATAAGTACATACACTATTGATTTTTCTATTTTTCCAATGAAAAGTCCAACGAGTCCAACCACGATTACCCTTTCTTTCTACCTTTCCTTTTTACCTTTCCTTTGTTTCTACACACGGTCCCTACAGTCCATACAGTACACGAAAACCGTTCGATGATATCATATCTATGGGTAACGGGGTATGGGGATATGGGAGTATCTTTCAAAAACCCTTCAAAACCCCGTTAAAACCCACCCGCGCCTCTAACCCTCTGCACGGCGCCGACGATACCCGTAGCCCATGAGAACCTGCCTGGGTCGGTACCGATAGAGCCTTCGGGCATGGCGCCGGTGGTGGGGTCGTGCCAGCAGCCGTCTGGGGGGCGGTGATTAGCAGGGTGTGGAACGAAAGAAAACGAAAAACGAAAAAACGAAACCGAAAACGAAAACGAAGGAAAACGGAAAACGGAAAAGGAAGAGAAGAAAAACGAAAATGGGAGAAGAAGGAAGAAAAGGAACACGAACCTTCAGTAGACACCCTCCCATAAATCTCCGTATTCTGGTTCCTGCGGATGCCCTCCATCCAGCGCGCGCACACTTCTTTGCTGTCGAGCATGACGTTGACTTCTTGGCTGTGGAACCACGTCTGGGTGTCTTGGTTCCCGTTGCCTTGGATCGCGAGGTGGTTGTCGACGATGAGGAGTTTTACTGCGAGGGAGGGGAGTTAGGATCGCGTAGAGTTCAAGTGGGTAGGATCGCGTAGAATATCGTGCAGAATGGATCAAGTGGGCATTGGGATAGGAGATGTTGGGAGAAGTGGATATTGGAATGGGGAACTTGAATAGGCGAAAAGGAAAGGAAACCCACCATGACAGCTCCTTTTCTTAAACTTATTATGTATCGGCCTATCCTGGTCTTTCGCGATATAGTTATATATCTTAAGCCGGCTCTTCTCCTCTGGCGTGAGGGGCGCTGCGCCTTCTGGGTGGAGCGAGGGGTCGTTGTAGAGGCGGTTTGCGATCATCTCGTTGGTACCGTTTTGGTATGGGAGGAGCTCGCCCTGGATGCGAAGGTGGAGTCAGAAATAGAAAGATGAGGAAGGTAGGGGATGGGGTTAGGAAAGGGATAGGAAAGGGAGAAGGAGGGAGAAGGAGAATGAAGAAACTCACGGCGTCGTTATACCCCAAACAAACCCACATTTCGACAGTAACGCCTCTTCTGACTGCAGCTACCAGTGCAGGCAAGAGCGGAGCGGCGTTGAGGTTGGGGGTTTGGATGAATACGGATTCGGTGGCGTGCATGATGGAGAGCATGAAGGCGACGTTTTGCGGGTATCTGAAAGATGAAAAACGAGCCAAAATTGAAGTTAGTTATTCGGTTACAAATGGTATGAAAAGGGTTTTTGGACTCACCGGATAGCTTTGCTCGCCTCGAAGAGGGGAGTACCGTATGGCGCGCGGGAGACGACGCACATTGGGATGGGTGTCGGGCCAGAGGTGGGTTGGGCACTGGAGAAGGGAGGGAAGGCGCTTGGGGGAAGAGGGATGTATGGAGTCATTTCGGTTTCGTTGACTAGGGAGCCTGAAGAAGAGTTAGTACATGTGGAGTGAAAGAACGACGCGTCGAAACACTCACCGTCCTTTGGCTCTGGTGCAGTTGGCTGAACGCCACCATCGGCCTTTTGGACCTTGGTGATGTTAAAGTGACGGGAGACGGCTTGGAGGTGGGTTTCGTTTGCCTAGAAGGGCGTTAGAGTGAACGGTTGTAGAGCACATGAACGTACCTTTGGCGCGTAAGCGGCTTGTATTCTCCGGATTTCTCCTGCGATGGTAGGATCGTAGTGTGGTTCTCCGGGTAAGAGTTCGGGAAGATCTTCCTTGGTGCCTTGAGTACCCTCTGTGAGCTGATCCCTGGCTTGGTGACCGGCTTCGACGACTTGCTGTAAGGAGATGCTTTCCTTTGTCGCGTCGTTGCCGAAAAGCGCCATGAAGGTCGGATCGTCGTAGCTAGGGAATCCTTTCTGTGCAGCGGGTTCCTCCCTACACGGCAAAGGTGGATCCAACTCGACGGCCCAGCTGTTGAGGCACACGTCGTAGAGAGAATCGACGACAGAGCCTTCGTACTGGACACACATCTCCACGTTATCGTTGTCCTGGATGTTATTGCTCATGAGCAACGCAACCTCGCGGTCGACGACGAGGAATTTGGAGTGGAAGGTGCCGACGAGGGGGACGTGGTAGTTGAGGACCTGCATGTGCAAGTTGGGGATGCTTTCGGGAGCAGGAAGAGCGACTTTGTCGCCGGTGTAGGTGCTGGGAGGGACGGGTTGGTGGTTTGTGATGAGCTGTTTGGGGTTTCCGCGGTCGTAGAGGACTTTTACGATGACCTTGGGGCCGCCGCGGGAGGCGACGCGGCGGTTGAGTTCGTGGATGGCGTCGGTGATGAGGTGGCTGGAGTCGCTGTTGATCCAAAAGTTGGTGGCGAGGAAGACTTCCTTTTTGGCGCGCACGATGACGTTGGCCATGTGTTTGACGATGTCGGCGAGGGGCGTGATGATGGCGAGGGGCGTGACGCCGGAGCAGGCGAGGAGAGAGGGGGAGGTCATGCCGGAGAGGATGCCGGGGCCTTCGGGGGACGTGATAGACGCGAGAATGGACGCGTAGATGCGGAGGAAGAGGGGAGAGGGGGGAGTAGGGCCGAATCGGGTGAGATCGAGAGCGCTCGGGTCGATACGGGCGGAGAGATCGGCAATTTCCTTTTCGAGTTTTGTATGGCCGTCATCGTCTGGCTTGTTCTTGGATTCTTCATCGGAATCATCTACCTTTAAGCTGCCATTGCCGTAGAGGTTTTTGGCGATCTGAGCGGGTGTTTGCTGTGGATCGCGGGCGTATTCGGAGGAGACACTAGGACCAGAGAGAAGAGCCTGAAGCGATGTTTTGTGGAGAGCCATGATCGTAGTGTTGGAGAGAGTTACGATGGCTATAAATAGATCGTGATTCGTGTCATGGTTGGTGGTGTAGTGGTTATTATCACATGACAATGACACTTCCTTGATTTAAGTCTAATAGTGTTCCGAATCATTCCGAGTGTTCCAACTTTCCACAGTGTCAGGAGATCCCCGGTTCGAAGCTAGCGCTACTTCAGATGTGATTCGATTACCTGCTTTCTTGTACATTATATATGTATTCTAGTATCCAAAATCCAGAAGCTGGCATATTACCTGTCGTTGAACGAATCTCTGTCGTTTCTTCACATAACACGAGATCAATATCCAGTTCTCCACCACCAACTTCATCCTTGCCTTCGCTGCCACCGCTTGACAGAACCAGGTATGTCAACATGTTTATCAAGTCCGAGCCCGAACATGGTCTCTTGAGCGGTCAGTCATTTCTGTTTCCTTGTTCTGAATCTACTGTCGCTTATAGCTTGCACATAGGTGAACAAGCTCGCGACATATTCCTCAAATCCCGTCTATCCTACCACCAGCTACTTCGGATATGGTTTGGCTACCTGCTCTCTTGTACATTCTATATATGTATTCTAATATCCAAAATCCAGGAATCTTGCTGATACTCAGGACCGCGGTGCCCTCGACTCTACAGATTTCGCTATAGGAATGTATTTCATTCAAGGAGTAATGTCCAACCAGATTCCTATCATACCTACTTCCCTACCGCCAGGTCTGTATCAACAAGCTTCAGGCGGCACGTTTGGTGCCGCCCTTCAGTGGGACGTCACTGCTGCTGACAAGGCTTCGTTTGATGGCTACTTTGATACACTAGATACTGCCAAGCTGGGGTACATTGAAGGAGAGGTTGCTGTACCCTTTATGTTGCAATCTAAATTGCCTGGGGATGTACTTGCTCGAGTTTGGTGAGTCACCTTGCCAGTTTCTGACGTTCGACAAGAACACACAAGTTCTTTATAGGGAGCTCGCTGACCTCAATGATGACGGCCGTCTCACTCGTGACAGCTTTGCTGTCGCAATGCATCTAATCCGGAAGAAACGAGGAGGAGGAGATATTCCTCCCAGTCTTCCTCCATCTTTAATTCCTCCGTCCATGCGTCACATCAATACTGGAGTCTCCTCATCCCCTTTCTCTCCTTCCCTCTTTGCGTTGCCTTCTGCTTCACAGCATCCCTTCACTGCCGAAAGTGACCTGCGCGTCGAAAAGACGGAAATCGAAGGGAGTTTCTTGAGCGACACGGAGCAAGTGAGAGCGATTATTCGAAAAGCTTTCAAGGCCAATCAACAGATCGAAACCTTAAACGCCGAGATCGAAGAGGCAAAGTTAAAAGTCAATCAACAGAAGCGTCTTTTAGCTATTGCTGAGGAACAGCTTGGCGAGAAAGAAGCTGAACGAGCTAAAGTCGAAACGGAGCTTGCCGAAGCTCAGGCTGCGATGATGGCCGTTGCCCAGGAGAGGGATGAAGTGGAGGCCGAACTAGGGTCCATGGCAGCGCCAATTCCTCCGGAGCGTGCTGATGCCCCAGAGAATGAACCAAAGTCTACAGCTACCCCAGTCATGAATGGGACTTCATCTTCATTTGACGATGTATTCGGTGTCCCATCTGGGGCTTCATTCGACGATGTATTCGCTGTCCCATCTGGGCCTTCATTCGATGATGCATTTCCTGGGGCTTCATTCGACGATGCATTTCCTGGAGCTTCATTCGACGATGCATTTCCTGGGGCTTCATTCGACGATGCATTTCCCGGGGCTTCATTTGACGATGTATCTCCTGGGGCTTCATTTGATGATGCATTTCCTGGGGCTTCATTCGACGATGTACTTGGTGTCCCATCTTCCAATGGCGAGACATCTCCGTTCGGTATAGAGCCATCAGTTTCAAATCCCTCCTCCCCTACTGAAGCGGGTGTTAACGCGTTCGACGAGGCAATGGGTATATCAAATGTCTCTTCCCCTACTGAAGCGGGTGTTAACGCGTTCGACGAGGCAATGGGTATAATCTCTTCCACTGCAGATGCACCCTTGACAACACCGCATTTCTCATTCGAGGAGGCAGCTCCTTCACCTCCTCCTTGCCAACTCCCAACTCCTCTCACAGAGGACCCGGAACGGACTGGGTCTCCCGCCGTTGACGATGGCGAACACATTGAAGCGGCGATGCAGCTCACTGCTATAGGTTCCAGCCATTGGAACCCGGAGACTGCGGTGAAGGAGCTTACGGCTATGGGTTTCAGCCGTTCTGAAGCTGTAGGAGCGCTTGAAAAATACGCGTACGATGTACCGAGTGCCCTCAATAGTCTTGTAGGCTGGAACCCGGAGATTGCGGTGAAGGAGCTCACTGCTATGGGGTTCATCCGTTCTGTAGCTGTAGGAGCACTTGAAAAATACGCGTACGATGTACCAAGTGCCCTCAATAGTCTTCTAGGATTGAACGTTTGAACCCGGAGACTGCGAATTGATGACAGTCGACACTGGTAAATTTTTAACCGTCAGCGTTTTTTGCTCATGCAATTGTTTGGACTTTGAAGATAAAAATTTTTATAGCGGTCTCCAGATGAAAAAATCTGAAGAGACAGTTTTGTGTAAAACGTAAATATAAAATACAAGAAACTTGTCGTTTTGAGTTTTTCAATAAACCGGATGCAAATTAAGGTTATTTAACGACCACTCCTCCGGATCCTCTGTGTTCCAAAAAATGGGATTTTTCCAATCCAGAAAGCGGGCGCAACTCTTGATTCAACATATACAAAGTCTACCTAGTATAAGAAGCGCGCTCGAAAAGAGGCAGAAACAGAAGCGGAAATTGATTTATTCTAGGCTACAGCCTGTGTTCCCAGCTCTCCGACCCAACCACCCGTTGATGACAGCCTGTGAATGATATATCTTACACACTACCACCACTTGAATTCCCCAGTCCTGCCCTCCCTGCCAGTCCAGTTGTGAGTTCTTCAATGGCTGTCCCAATGAGCTCACCACTATCTGAGCTGGACAAGACTCCTGTCAGACACAGTTCGGTGATATTGGTTATCACGTCTGTCTCACATAAATATGAATTTTGCATTACGAGCCTATGGCTCCATGTAATGCAGAGTGGGTGAACGAAGTAAATCCACTATGTATGTCAACAGGCGGCCGCATGCTCGCTTTGGCCGGTCAAAGCATTCCAACCTCCGCAGATTGTGGCTGTGCTCGTTCACAGCGGCTCCATCAATGGGTTTCGCTTCGCTCACCCAATAAATTAATAAAGGTTAGCATTAGTGACACAGGAGGTGGTTCGAGACCGGGTCGAACCATGCACCTATCTCAGACCTCGTTTTTGCTAAATCCATGTGACGCTTGCAGTTTGAACGCGAACTCCATGGAAGTTATATCTTATCGTGAGCCATTCCTCAGAGGGAACCGCATGGTTTTGTTAAGCCTGGGGATGAACATCTTGTGTGCAAATTGAACAAGTCAATTTATGGAACGAAGCAGGAGCTCCTGAGTGGCAGGGGCTGCAGGTTCACAATTTATTGTCGTGACAGTACACGGTTCGGTGGTGTAGTGGTTATCACGTCTGTCTCACATATCGAACTGTGATGTTGTGCACAGGAGGTCCCCGGTTCGAGACCGGGTCGAACCAGTCTGATGGACATTGACAGTTTTTTTTTCTCCACGTGATACATAAAACGCGAAACGTCATTGCTCCAATGATCATGACGTCACTTTTCATTTCAACGATATTGCCATGAACTCGTCAAACGTCACTCGACGTCGGGTGGGGCTTACAAAAAACTGGACGTGGATCTGTTCACTACCAGCAATGCCTTCATCTCTACTGAAAAAATTAATTCCTCATCGCAAAAAGGATCCATCGACATCTCCAGAGTCTTTAGTAGATGAATCAGAAAAGGATTCCAGATCATCGAGTTCAGGTAACGGCGTAGACAACAAAGATATTCTCCTCGCAGAACAAGCTCGTCGAATCCAAATCAGACGTGCACAGTCCAGCGCTGTAGCCCAAGTCAAGGAAACAGACACACAAAGAGAACTCTATGGCGAACTCTGGTGGGAAGACGTCGATAGCACCGGCGAAGCTAGCATTTCGGAATTATCGAATCTCGTTGGACAGACAGTCGATATGCGTGTGCGGTTACACACTGTTCGAGCTGTTTCGAGCGCCTTGGTGTTTTTAGTGCTGAGGCAGGGAATGGATACTGTCCAGGGCGTGTTGCATGCCGATGAAGCTGTTACTACCCATATGGTACGATGGGTCTCTCGACTCGAGGAAGAGACCATCCTCCACGTCCGCGGCGTCGTCCAGAAACCTCAAGTCCAAGATGGACAAGTGCGACGCGCGAGTGTCCATGATGTCGAGTTGGACCTGCTCCAAGTACACGTTATAGTCAAGGTCGCAGAGCCTGTCCCGTTTAGCGTGTACGAGGCCGATTTGAGTGCTTCGAAGGATACGGAGGAAGACTCGGATTCAGAAGACGGTCCTCACATCTCCGACCGCGCACGTCTCAATTCCCGCATCATCCATCTCAGGAGCGCTGCCGCCCAAGCAGTCTTTCGGATTCAGAGCACTGTGTCTACCCAGTTTAGGGTCTATCTCACCACACTCTCGCAAGGCGAAGGCGGAGATCCAAGTTTGGATTTCATCGAAATTCATACGCCTAGATTACAGCCTGGCGCATCCGAATCAGGAGCGTCTGTGTTTAAAGCTCAAGTATTTCGCTAGGACTGCGTTTTTAGGTGTGTCTTCTTAATCGTCCCAGAGATGCTGTTCCTAATCTCGCCGCAGCACAATCCCCTCAACTGAACAAACAAATGTCCGTCAGCGCAGGCTTTGAACGCGTGCTCGAGGTCGGACCCGTCTTTAGAGCGGAGAATTCTAATACCCATAGGCATTTGACGGAGTATACCGGGTTGGATTTGGAGATGAGTATTAGGGGGGGTGGAGATGCGAAGGGGTGGCATGAGGTACGCTACCTTCTCTCCTTTCTCGCCTTTTGTTGACATCCCTTGACCTCTACAGGTCATGTACACAGTCGACTCCACCCTCAAATCAATCTTCAAAGCGGTCTACACCTCTCGCAGGCGCGAACTCGAACTGGTAAAAGAACAGTTCCCCTCGGAAGACTTGGTGTGGCTGGAGGAGACGCTGGTGATCAAGTTTCCGGATGGGGTGCAGATGTTGATCGATGATGGGTGGGTGCTTCTCACTTTGACTACGCGCGACTTGGGTATTGGGTGCTGACTATGTTTTTGTGTAGATGGACAGATGAGGAAGGGAATCCTCCGAAGAAAGACGAGGATCTGAATACGAGGGCTGAGATTCGGTTGGGTCAGTTGATCAAGGTACGCTCTTCCTTATTCCATCCCGTTATCCCTATTTAATTTAATTTTTTTTTTCACAGCAAAAATACGCAACCGACTACTACATCCTCGACCTCTTCCCCAAAAGCGCCCGGCCCTTCTACACCATGCCCGCCCCGCGCGCCGTGCTCGAACAGGATATCTGGAAGCGGCACCCAGAGTTGGAGGGCACGGTGTTTACGTGCAGTTTCGATATTTTCGTGAGGGGGCAGGAGATTACGACGGGGGGACAGAGGATACATGATTATGAGATGTTGGTTAATGCGATGGGGGAGGGGGACATTAGGTTTGTTGCCTCCGCCTCTCGTCCTCGGAGTCAATATTAATGCCGAACTCCTTTTTTCCATTCCATGTCGGCCTACTAAAGCGAACGCGGCCTCGAAGAATACCTCGATGCGTTCCGCTGGGGCGCGCCGCCGCATGGGGGAGCGGGGATTGGGTTGGAGAGGTTGGTGATGTTGATTTTGGGGTTGGGAGATATTCGGTGGGTCTATATTCATCGTTGACTTTTTTTCGTTGATTTCTTCTCTGACGCCAACGCCACTTGTGTAGGTACGCCTCGATGTACCCACGCGACCCGAAGAGTCTCCCCGAGACGCCAAAGTCGTTACAGGGGCTTCCGCATCCGGAGGCGAGTACGTTGAGTCATGGGGTGGGTGTGCTTTTGTTTTTTTTTGTTTTTTCATATCCGTTTTTCGGTACTTACATTTACATTTCCTTGCTTTTATTCATCTCTTTTTCGTCTCCTTTTCTTTCATCTCCTTCCTTTCATCTCCTTCCTTTCATCTCCGTTATTTCCATTTACTTACTTGCGTTTTTTTTCTTTCAAGTTGAATGCTATCAAGCCGATTAAATGTATCTGCCAATCTACAGCCATTGACGCGAGTGGGTCGACATTTACGTCGCCCGATGCGTCGAGGTTTTCGTTGCAGGGGCAGGGGATGCGGGAGATGCAGGGACTGTCGGATTTGTCGTTGCCGAGTGGAGGGGCTAGTGGGGGTTCGAGTGGGAGTAGTACGCCTGTGCCTGTGCCGAATGGGAATGCCACCCCAGCTGGTACTAGTCCGCATCAAGGAGGAGCGGAGACGCCTATTTCGACGACGACGGGGGCTACGGCGGGAAGCACGGCTACCGGCGCGAGTGGACAAAGCAAAGTCAAGCACCCGCCACACCATGTGGGGCCGAGCCCGTTGAGCCAGAGTCATGTGGTTGGGTCCGAGGCTAAGGATGTGGGGGGTTCCGGTGTTGCTTTGCCTGGGCTCGTAGGAGGGGGTGGGGGTAGGGGGGTCCCACCGCTCCCGAAACTTATCGCGAACTATGGAGATGCTGCGAATACGTCGTGGTTGGATGATCGGTATTTGTTGTGGAGGGATGCGGTTACGGGGGGTGCTATTGGGTGGGTGGCTTCTTTTCTTATTTTTCTTTCGAGCTTTTCGAGGTTGTTTTCATTGCACGTTTATATTTCTATGGTTCTTAATCGTGGACATGTGGATTAGTATGCTGACATGTACTATGACTATTTGTGCAGATTCGTACCCAGCTCCGGCTTCGCCATTATCGTTGGCGACCCGCTGTGCGATCGATCCCAGTTTGCGGGTGTGGTGGGGAGGTTTTTGGGATGGTTGAGGAGAGGTGAGAAGGGGGAGAAGGGGGATGAGGTATGTTGGGGTAATAGCCTTATTCTAGTATGTCGCTGAACTTGTTTTGCTTTAGGGCCACAATCAGCTTGGGTTTATCGAAAGGAAGATGATTTCTTCTGTGCCGTCTGATGCGGATGATGATGATAAGGAGAAAAAGGAGGAGAGAAAGGTGGAGAAGACGGACACGAGTCTTTCAACGACGATCGCTTCTGTGCTTGCGTCGATGAAACCTGGGAAAGGCTCTGACGAGGAGTTGGTCAAGCCTTCCAACACTTTTGATACCACCCATACCGCAAATTCGGTGATTACAGCTCCTACTGCCATTGGGTCTACGCAGACGTTTACTAGTGCCGGAGGCACCGAAGGCCACCTAGCCCACCCTAAGCCTCTCGGGCCCCTCAAGCCCATCTGGCTCCTCGCGTCCGCGCACCTCGAGTCTGTGCTTGGATCGAGGATGGCGTGGTCGAGTTTCACGTGTATTGCGGAGAGTCGGGTGGAGCTGGAGGGAGAGGTGCCGGCGGCGTTGGAGGAGAAGGAGGTTAGTAGGAAGGTTAGGAAGGCGAGGGTGAGGGGGTTGAGGTGGGGGTCTGGTGGGGGAGAGATGGGTTTGGTATGGATGGAGAGGGTGATGGTGGGGCGGGTGCTTCTGCTTCTATGTTGGCGACCCCGTCTACGGATCCTGTGATGACACCGGAAGATGTGAAGGAGGGGATCCGGGTTGTTGGGAGCGGGGGTAGTGGAAATCCGATGCCGTTGTCGTTGAAACATGTGATTGATGCGAGGATTAAGGAGTGGAGAGATGGGAGGAGGAAGAAGGTGGGTCCCTTTTCGATTTTTGGGCTATAGGCTTTTGGGAGCTGATGTTTTTTCATCCAGGGAGGCCAAGTACGTCTGACTGAAGTCGATCCGTGGAGAGACTGGGAGCATAGGCAGTATTTCGTTGCACTGGCGCCAAGGAAGTCTGTCAATGATTCAGATAGTATGGATTCTCCCAGTGACTCCCCGTCCTCCAAAGACGAAAAAATTCCCGTTTCGCTCGTCGTGCTACACCAACTTTCTCCGGTCCACGGTGTCCAAGTCAAATACGCTCTCGATTTCCCACCCACATCCGCGTTCCCTACGATCTCTACATCCGGCGCCATCGAGTCGGCCCTCAGTGCTGCCATGCACGCTGTCGCGTCTACCGGGTCTGGTAGGCTGACGTTCGGTACGAGTGCGACCTCGCGGCTGACGCCGGTGAGGAACGTGAAGGGGGTGAGGGTGAAGGTGTTGAGCCATGCATATGAGGCGATTAGTGAGAGGATGAATTTGAGAGGCAAAGGGGAGTTTAGGAGGAAGATGGGGGCGGAAGAGGATGATGTTTATATATGTTATCCGAAGGGAGGGATGGGAACAAAGGGAGCGAAAGCTGTTTTGGACTTCGTTGTTGCTGAGAGCTAGAGGAACGCGCACATCCGCTTGAGGTAGAGAAGGTTGATGCTATACCCTCCACTGTGGACGCTTTTGATCTTTTTTTTTTTTACGAATTCGCATTTCATTTTCCTGTCTTCTCCCACTCGCTCACTCTGGTTTTTTCATTTGGTTTGTTCGATGCTACTTATACTAATACGAATCCTACTATTACAGGACTGATGATACACCGGTCTGACGATACATATACTTATGTGCGTAGACTTATAGTTTTTAATTTTCAAGATATAAGCATTTTGCGTCGAATTTGAATCATGAATAAGTCCATCCATATAAGCCTTCCCAAATCACCTCCAAGCCTTTAACTCACGAGGAAAACTCGAGAGCGCGCGACTTTGTGTCGAGTTGGGCTTCGGCACATGGGTGGACGCGATGCTGGAGATGTTCGTACCCTCCAAAATTGGATGGGAGCAGAATTCTGATGCTGAGTACTTTCAGTCTCGTATCATTATGCCTTAGGGGGAAAACATCCGTGCATGTAGTTGACTTGAATTTTTGGATGAGGTGCTGTAGATGCGTCTCAGTTTGACCCCTTTATCGTCGTTTACGTCAATTTTACGTCGCGTCGCGAAAAATTCTCTGGGTTGACCATCTACTAGCACCACCGCACGAAAAATACGTTTGGCGACTTTGTTACCCCTAAATGACGACAATCAACGTTATCACAGGCCGTCTCGAATTCAAACCTCCCGCAGCTTGTCCAAAGAACCCCTTGCACCACACGAGTTTTTCCGGACAGCACACGGAATGCAGCGATGGGGCGATTATTGACGAAAATGCGTCTTTCTTCACCGAGCTTCAGCAGGTCAAGAAAGAGAACAATCTCCTCCGGAAACTTCTCCGAACAGATCAACGAGAATTCATCGTCGGTACTTCAGCAGCTGTAGCCCTAGAGGCTGCCCACATCGTCAGTCCTATCCGCATTACACGACGAAACGAGAAAAAAAAAGTGTTAGTAAAAGAACGAGTTGTATGTCCTTTTATTCAAGTACTGGCCACACTTAAGACCGAATACCGATTGTTTTAGGAAGCAATACTTACTCGTCTCTGGTTCAACCACGGACAACCCTTTCTTCTGGATAGTCGTCCAAACATGATCCTTTGTTAGTCCAAGATATGCAGTGCTCTTCATGTTCACGATCTAACCTTATCTCAGTGAATAGTGTCAACCATTGTCTACTCGACCTTCATGGTGCATTGGGAATATCTCCCGGCGAGGTTCGCCTAGGTGACATACTCGTTGAGCTACTACGGGACAACCAAGAATGGAAGGCGCGGGTTGCGAGCGGTGGCGTTCCACAGAGGAACTTGGATGTATGTATTCAGCTTTTGTTGAAGATTTTCACTCGCTAATTCGACTGATCTTTTCCAGATGAGCAAACCGGTATACGACATCGACACCATCGAGTGGGAGGTGGTCGTGATGCACGAAGAAGACTTCTTTCCTCCTGGGGACAGCATCTTCGCTCACAACGCTGCTGCACGCACCCTTCGTGATGAACAACCAGTCTCCTCGCCAACATCCTGCCATGTGCCAGAACACCAGCCTGATAGTCAATTCAACTATCATCATACGCTTCCATATCTCCTCGATTCCAATAATGATGTTTTCAGGTTCAAGATGAGAACGACTCGTCCACCCACAGAGAAATTGTCACTGTTTGCGATGATGGTCAATCTACAGTCGAAGCTCTATGCCTATATCAAAAATACGACTGGACCTTATCAGTCCATCACAGGTCTACTCCAGTTGGTAGACCTTGTGATTAGCGCAATCTATTTCGAGCCTCGCTCTCCTCTCAGCGTTAATCCGGCTGCAACGGAAGCCAGCTTCCCAACACCTCCGTCCGACGAAGGCTTACAAGCGCTTGAGACAGGTGATGGTGATCCAATCCCTGGAAGTGATCTGTCTGCAGGTGGCCATGATGACGGTTCTCCTGAACCGGTCGATGAAAAGGGTCTTACATACACCGAAACCTGTATTCTCTTGAACAAGATCGAGTCAGGTGAATTACAAGGCGCAGAAAAAGCCAAGGCTGCGCAGATGTTGCTGTTTGGAGTTCGAGGTATGTGTATCCACTTCGGTTTGATATATCCAGGTCTTGACTTCTATGTTGCAGGCCCTGAAGAACCGATTCGGCTGCGAGATTTTGATGAAGAAGAGGAGGAGTAAAGTCCAAGTAATATACCAATAACATTGTTCCAAGAGGTTAGAATTTTTTGTTGTAAACTTGTTACATAGTAGGTTGTGTAATTGGAATGCACTCGCTCAGCAGACTTGAATATACAGTCGTCATCCCTAATTTTGTCCTCGTCAAGACCACCCCACCTCTACGCCTCCTTGCAGAAGAACAGAGATCGTTATCCACAGACCGGGTACTGCAAGGGCAATATCACGCCAGCAACAACTGACATGGCTGATATGGAGTGCGGCAAACGGTTGAATGGAGTCAGGCTCCGAATCAGACAAGAGTATCGTCGGAGAGAAAGGACAAAAGGAAAAGATGTGTGATCAGAGTTCTGTGGGAAGCATTGCGATGGGTGTTTCTGCTCCTCGAGTAGACGTTTATGTGTAAGAGTAAGGGGACAAAATTCGAACAAGCAGGAGATTTCAGTAGGAAGAGGTCTGATCGTAAACCAGTGAAAGAATTTGTTGATAGCGTGCTGATCTCTGTAGGTGCGCACGTAGAAGTAGCAGGTTCATGAATGAACCGTACTTTCGAAGCTTACAATGAGATCATCTGACGAAGACGCGTGGCCATTGTTCGGCAGGCACATTCCGAGTCGTCCTGGATTGTTCGCCACGTTCAACTCAGGAGTGGGCTTTCTGCCTAGATCTGCCAGTGTAGTCGGGTGCTATCGTACTAACACTATAATAACAGTGCTGGAATATCGCTCGTATTGCTCGTGCTTCGGTACCGGTCTTGTATACTCCTCCGAGGCCTCTCACCGTTGTTCTATCACGCGTATACAGATAAGAATGTGTGTGTACGTTCTTCCAAATCTATCAGCTTCGTCACCTCTTATTTTCTCAGCCTCTACTCAGCAACTAATGCTGAATAACTTCGTCATGGTCGTTCCATATCAAATACTGCTAATCTTCAACCCATGCCCAGTCATCTGTCCGTCCGGAACTCCATCGTACCCACACCCACACTATAAAACAAGATCTCCCTTCTTTCCCTCCTCATAACTAACCTACACACCCAACTACCAAAATGCCTCACAAAGGATCCTGTCTCTGTGGTGAAACCACCATCGAACTCGAGTCAACTCATGCCGACCAGGTGCGATAATTCTGTTAACCTAATTCTAGAAAGGCTGTACTAATGTCCATACTGTAGATTGTTTGTCATTGCACCGATTGCCGCCAGACGAGCGGAAGCGCGTTCAGCACCAATGTCCTCGCGCCAAAGAAGGGCGTTACAATCAAAGGCCCCGTAAAAGAGTACAAAATCACAGCCGCCTCGGGAAACACTGGTGTGTTTTTTTCCCCTTGCTTCCCATTGCAAACTGCATACTAAATCACGACACGTCAACAAGTCACCCGTGTCTTTTGCAGCAACTGTGGTAGCGCCATCTCCCATCTCGCCGCACCCTTCGGCGATGCCCAGGCCATCCAGACGGGTAACTTTGCTGACTTTGCCAAGATCCCGATCAACACTGAGCGTGCGTTGTTTTCTCTCAATCCATTCTCGTTGTGACACCGTTATTCAGTATTCGTGAAGGACCGCTGGAGCGGTCTTACCCCTATTGCACACGCAGCACAGGTCCAGGCGATGCCTTAGGAGCTTTGCCTCTTCTAGATGGTGGAGTCGACTAAAGAAAAGACAATCGTAAACTGAACTGTAAAGACGGTGAAGTATCTTGTGTGTACTTTTATTATTAAATTTTTATCGACGCGGGTGTCATGGCTGGACTTGTATTGAGATACTCGAGACCTGTTACTCGGCGTTCGGGTTCAAGTACTTAACTGACCGGGAGGATTCTTATCTATCGACGATCATTCTCCTACCTCGGTGTTTGCCACTGTTCTCCCATTGTTCCGTCAAAGAAGTTTGTGATATGTGGTCACATTAGAGACGGAACTAGAGTTCGGGTCTATGGAGCAAAGCAATTTTATTAAAACCACCTTGACTCTGAATTTGAGGGAAAGACGTGTAGATAGTCTTGATCTGAAACGGGCTTATATATGGTGTACAAGACACTTAGATATTATGGTTCGGTGGTGTAGTGGTTATCACGTCTGTCTCACATCTGGCATTAACTTCTCTTTATGTGGATGTACACAGGAGGTCCCCGGTTCGAGACCGGGTCGAACCAAAGCTTTTGCTGCGACTACTGCGAGAGACTGCGAGCTACGTTATTATCATTGATGGCAATCTTGTGGGTCCACTCTTTTTACATCTTCTTTCTAACATTGGGCCTCGTTCGCTATAGATAGTCATGTCGATATCTGCGCTCGAACTCGTACCGCTCTTCTTGGATGAAAAACTCGTTCATACAGATCTTCCGCCTTTGGTTTATGAAAAATGGTCGTGTTCCGCTATGCACACAAACTCAGCGTGGACTTCATTGATTGAAAGCGCCTGCGCTCTTCTCGGTAATAAGCTGCAGGCTACAATGGCAGTGGCTCGCAAGCCCTTTAATTCGAATGATGTCGTATGCTATCTCTTTCTGTTATATCATTCGAATCTGATTTCATCCTTCAGGTCATGGAATTACACCTTGATGACAATCGAACTGTCTTTGTGCGTGTCTTGACCCAGCAATCATCAGACAACTCAACTACGCGCTGGCTTCAGGGAAGGCATACTTCAGAAATATCGATACTACAATGGCTCGAGATGGTCGCGCCTAATGTACCTGTTTCCCGTGTTCTGGCTGTCGACAGTGTAAACGGAATAATTGTGACCACATATATTCCAGGTCTAGATGCTTTTCACGCGTATCCTCTCTTAAAAGCCTCTGCAAAGGTCAGTATTATTTCAATCACGACAGTATCGAGGGTTTGACTTGTTTTTATTTTTGGCAGGAACATTCGGTGGTTTCGTGGGCTCAGCTTGCCTTGAAGCTGTTCAGGACGTCTTCTCCTCAATGTTTTGGAACCCCCCATGCCATTGAAGGTACTATGTTACGTCTCGGTGTGCATATTGGGCTATCTCCGGGACATTGTTTTGACGTTGGCGGGTCCACCAATCTGCGTACCTTCTTCGCGAGTGCTGTTGAGAGTCGGATTTCCCGCTCAGCCATCCTGTACGCAAACGAACCCGAAACACATTCGTTGCTATGTCAGCGCGTGGCAAGACTATTTGAAGGCCTTGAGTCGCTTATGGTGGAGCTGGATAGTGATCCAGCCTTGAGCCGATTCGTCCTGACGCATACCGATCCTCGACCCGATAATGTTATCCTTGACCCGGTCTCTGGTGAGGTTCTCGCCATTGTGGACTGGGAGTATGTTTCTTGTTTTCCCGCTGCTATGGCTGCTCAGTACCCTGAATGGATACGCAGTCCCATCGTGGGCACACAGCGATACAGAAATTCCAAGACTACCCTTTTGCATTACACTCTCGAACCCAAGGCAGAGAGAGAGCGACTTTGTAATTTGTATGAAGAGGTAAGATCTCATTCATCGACTTGCGACGGTTTCTGACTTCGCGTTGTGAAATTACAGTATATGCAACGACATGATCCAGAGTACCATAGATGCCTTATCTGGGGCATTAGATTGCGTGATGCATATGTTTGGATTACTTCGCCGAATGACCCAGATGGTGAAGCTATGGATAAGTGGGTTACGGAGCACTTATTAGGAGTTACCGCTGACCACCGCTGCGCTTAATTATGATACTCCGGCTATATTACCTTTGGCCTGTACAAAAAAGGTGACTATTTGCATTAGAACCTAGTTGTACTAAGAAACCGCATAGTAACGTACGCCAAAATATCGAAGGAGGGATCGGTGTGGGTGCATATGTACGGACCAAACGCGGATTTAGCATGCCTACGGTAGAAGATACTAAGATCATGATCGAGTAAATCTCTCCCTCTGGCAAATGAAGATCAGTGAACAAACTCCAGAAAATGATCAGCATGCAGGAATCATAATTGATTGCGATCGATAAAGAAGTATTGAGATAACTTGGAATGAACCGTAGATGTAGTAGCTCAAGTCGTTGAATGGACTAGTCTTCGGTCCTAGGTCGCTTATTCTCGCTCCCCTCCTCATCCATTGGAGCACGTGTATGTGCTCCCGATGGTGTCTCTTCTTGCTCTCCAGAATTGATATCAATTTGTGTCCCAAGAGCGTATCCATCCAACAGGCCATTCAACACGGCTTCCTCAACTCGACGTCGGAGCTCCGCATCCACAGTTTCTGGATCGACGCCTTGGTCGACCAAATCTTGAATGGATGAGAGTAATAACGCCGTGAGTTGCTCAGAAGCAGCATTTTGTGCGTATTGAGATGCCGTAGCATCGACGTTGGAGTTGTATGGTGCAGGTGGAGGTAGGGAAGAGCGCGATTGAAGATAAGCAGATACCTGAGGGTAATCTTCAGAGAGATGGGCGATTGGCTAGTAGACATGAGCATGAAATCAGCAAAGAAAAGTGAGAGACGCACTGATACCCCTTCGTCATTTACTCGATCAAGTACTGCGCCCTTGTCAAGAAGGTATTGAGCCGTTTCGATAGTTTCTACTGTATACAACTGATGATAATGAGAAGTGCTCGAAGAAACAGAAGAAAAAAATATTACTGGTGTATCACCGTCTGAATCAGTGATATTCACGTCTCCTCCTGGTTGAGTTGAGCAGATGCAGCAGAATAAAACAATGTCGACCACTGACCATGAGATATGAGGTATTCCAGAACGTCTATGTGGCCATAGGAAGCTGCTGCATGCCTAGAAGCTGTTTACAATTGTTCCGACTAGCGATTGAAGCAACGGACATTGGAGTATATGTATTTGGATCTGGAGCGTTGGGAGACATGGCTACATTGGCAGTAGAGTCACTGCGTTATTCGCGATAAAGATAAAGATTATAAAGGACAACTTGCAGTGTTGTTCAACTAATTCCTGTGAAATAGCTGAAAGAGACGGGGAAGAGAGAATAAGCGTTGACAAACTTGAACTCGGTCTAGATCTCCGTCCCCAGCAGCAACCCAGATGTTTTTCTGAGGTCTTGAAGGAATAGCCATGATATTTTAGAAGAAAGAAATGAAGACGGCCGGTCTATAGAAAAGGACGCTGCCGGCTGATGGAGTGATCGGAAGATCATATATACTGCTCTCTATAGGTGCATATATACAACTCTAAATCTTCACTGACGAAAAACAAAACAAAAAAGTGTAAAGGAATACAGAACACCAAGTCGAGAAATTTTCAAAGACGTCTGGGAGCAAATTTATGACTTGGGCTGACTGGATGCCTCCTAAACCTGACCTTTACCTTCGTCGACAATCCATTTTCTCCTAGTTGTACCCTCGCCAAATCCTGTATTCCGCTATCATGAGCTTATTTGCAGATAGAGTTTATGGTGACGACCAGCCCTCAAATTCTGCTCAAATTCCTAGATCGCTCGGCGCCGCTTTCAGCTATCCCGCAAATAACTCGTCTTCTCCTCAATCTTCTCTCCGATTACCCAGTATCAATCAGCAAAGTTGTTGTTAGTTCTTCATTTTTCAGTTATTACTCGATCAGTAGCTCATTCTACTTTAAAGATTGGGCTTTACTTTCGGCAGATCTTCAATTCATCTATCTCGATCCAATTCTGCAACTTCATCTCGAAGACCAAGCAAGTCATCTCGTAGGAAAATCCTTAGTGAAATTCGTTCGTTCCGATGAGCAGGAAACAGCGCAAAGAGATCTCGGCAGCGTATTGGAGAGCAAGACCCTCAATGGAAGTATCACCCGGTGAGCTTCTTCCATACTAAATTCTCGAGTCTCGCTCACCGTGTTTTTTCGATTGTAGCGTTCATTTTTCAACAATCTCTCGCATTCGGCGCGTACTCGATCACAATATCCCTCCTCCGTCCTTTACTTCTGCCGCGGATACGGCCTCTGAATTCATGGTCGCTGATATCGTTATCAATTGGGCAGCCGAAGGCCTCGTCTTGTGTTTCATTCACGCAAGTATATCCGCCTCAGATGATGAACATGTCAAGTCTATATCGTCCCCTTGGTGCGGCACTCCTGTCATGACACAGGAGCAGCTCCAGAGCTTGTCTCGGAGTCTGCTGATGTGTTCGCCGGCCCCTGGGAGCTCACATGGACGAGTGTTTCAAATTCTCGCTAATACATCCGCAAGACCATCGCTTTTGAGCTGGCCCCCTCCCCAAGACGGCTCGTCGGATGAAGACATAACCGACCTTGCAAAATCTGTGGATTTAGGCGGTATCTCAACGTCTCAAGGGAAAACAAATTGTACCCGAAGGTTCAAGGCTTTAAGAGATCTTCGCGGGACAGAGGTCGAAAGTGTATATATTCCTCATGGTGGGTGCATTTTTTTCGCGTGTCTAGGGGTCGTAACCAATTTCCGCTAATTGTCTCTTTGCGTGCCGCTTAGGCTCCTTAATCTTCGCATGTCATCAACTTCAAACTTCTCCTTCCTCCTCACCTTCATCGGCTGTTCATTCTCAGACCGCTCCATCCACCAACACATCGACATCAATTCCTCACAATTCTACAGTTGCTTTCATGGGTTACAACGGCTCGGCGACCTCCTATTCCATCCCTCCTCCTGCTCCACACCAGCAAATATACGACTCACAATACTCGCTACCACCGTTGTCCTCTGCGACAACCCTTCCACCACCAAATAGTTCGTATAATTATTCATCAGCGCAGCCGACAGTTCCAGTATCGAGCCAGTATTCGTCATACGCGCATTGGGCTCCTCCATCTCATCAGTCGGTGCAAAGCCTTCGATCGGGATTCTGGAATCATCATTCCTCTAGCTATGAAAATGGCTCTAGTGGTTCTCCTGGTCTCCCTTTGAGTGGAGGACATCATTCCCACGGAAGTTATGCTCGGCCTTTCTCGCCGTACGGCTCTCATACTCACTATTCCTCGAACAATGACGGTCATCTAGACGGGTTGAATGAGGACACTCCGTCTCCGACTTCGGCCACGTCCTCTGTCACTGACGTTGTGCCGCCCCCGAGGCGCCGTGTGTCTCCTAGTTCTCGCGATTACCGAGAGGGTAGTGGTGCGTCAGGCGGAAGGGAACGTCATGGCAATAGGCCGTCTGGATTGCTCAAATGCAGCAGCTGTAAGACAACTACCAGTCCAGAGTGGAGAAAAGGCCCCAGCGGCAAAAAAG